TTGAACCGTGGTTGACTATGTGGGAGTCCAGTGGCGTAACCAGTACACCATCTGCTGGTCCCCGTGTTATTCTTTATTTGGTCTGTGTCTCCCCTTGCTAGGCTTTGAGGTTCATGAGAAGCAGGATATTAGTCCTCTTTTTCATTTTTCACCAACACATAAGCAATAATAAGTCCTTGATATAATAATAATATAATACATGTTTAATTAATTGGTCAATTCACACTTTAGACTTTCCACAGTTCAGAGTATCTCAGGGCAAATGAATATTTAGTACTCTCCCAGTTTCCTTCTAAAGTAATTATTCTCCTTAGCTGGCTAGGTGCAGCCTGTTACAGCTTTTGTTTCCAATCCTAATTGATTAAAAATACTCCGTGTGTCATACGCTTCACATTCCGATCACTGTGGAGGGTTATTAGCCTTTCTCCTCCAGGGCCCCAATCTACCCGAATGTGAGCCATTCCTGAACCCTGTCCCTGGGAGCCAGGGCAGCATTGCCCACCGCCTCCCATCCTAGCACCATGCCTGTGAGGGCCTTGCCAGGCTGCTGGCTGGCGCATTCCCTGTGTCTAAGTGCAACTCTCTGGGGCTCTAGTAGAGTGTGGGCATTTCATTGCATGGCGTATTTCATGTTTGTGAGAAACTCAAACAGCTTTGAGGATTTCTTTTTCTTTTGGGGGGCTGTCTCATCTGACAGCTCTCCGAGAGAGCTAATGCTGTCCCCATTTAGCAGGTGTTCTAGCAGAGCTCTGGCACTGCCTGCTGCTGGTCCCGCAGCAAACGGGGCCGAGTGGAAGCATCCTCCCCAGCCCCATCCTTCAGCCTCCACTTCTGTGATCCGGATGGTGGATGACTTCATTTCAACTTTGAACACCTCCGTCGGTCTGGGTTTTGCATGGGTGTTATTGTCAGCATTCCTGTGGTTGCCCGTGCTGCGACTTCAGTGTGCGTTTTCTGTTTCCTCTGTCCTCCTGTGACCCCTTCTCCTTCGTTACACATACACGTGTGTGCTCGTTTGCAGCATGTCTGCCTTTGCGTGTGTGCACATGTGTATGCGTGTAAGAGGGGACTTCAGAGAAAGCTTTGGAAAAATGAGATTAATGCATGAGTTCGTGTTGGTGCAGACAACATGGAGTCTGCCAGGTTCTCTAATAAAACGAGATTTCCACGAACTATTTGGAGACCCTCCCCCCATGTATATGTAGAGAATGATGTAAATGTATGAGATTTCAGCATTAGCATTTTTTTTTTTTTATTTTTATTTTTTTTTTATTTCACTCACCCAAGAGGGACAGAGGGGGGGCTGGCATGAGAAAGCAAACCACCAGGTCCGGGACTCAGACCACAGTCAGGTATATGAGAGCCCAGCGCCCTTAACCGCCATGCCACCTGCTGGCCTCAGCCTTAGCATTTCTGGTATTTGCTATTTTTTTCATGTCTGTCAAATCTACTGCATACATGTTAGCTGTAGATATAAAATACAACTTGTGACAGTGGAAGTATGAGAAAGTGAAACTATACTATAAGATTGGGCATCAGATACTTCAATAAGTGAAACAAATGTTTCTATTTGGGTACTTATTCTGTGCAAATGATGATACATCCCCAAGTGAGTTGATACTGTAACTTTTATGTATCCTAATTCACACATTAAGATTTTTTTTCTTTTGTTTAGGGGACTATGGATACATGTTTTAAATTTAAGAGTATAACTGCAAATGTAAGTTCTTGAACAGACAGGCCTGAGTCTATAAAGGCCCCTCCAGCAGTTGGCGTAATGGCTATGTCGCTGGACTCCAATGTAGTCAACTGTGGTTTGTGTCCCAGACCCAGTGGCTTAAACTCACGCCGGGCGTGGGTGTGTGCGTGCCCAGGATCCCGAGAGGAGAATGGAGGAGAAGGGATTGCTGCATGGCCATTCCCCCCTGGGGGGTGATTTCTCGCTTTCTGTCTCTCTCTCTCTCTCTGTCTGTCTGGCGAGCGCATGCGCCCTATAGCAAAAACCTCTCCAAAAATAAA